TCTCATGGTCACTGCAGCCAAGGCTGCCCCCAACCTTCACATCTCCAACTAGACCTTCTTTGTTTGTTAGTACAAGGTCTAGCATTGCACCTCTCTTTGTTGGCGTCTCCAGCACCCGTGTGAAGAAATTATCATCAATGCTCTGCAGGAACCTCTTTGACTGTTTGTGCCTAGCTGTGCTGTCTTCCCAGCAGATGTCAGGGTGGTTGAAGTCTCCCATGAGAACCAGGGCCTGTGATCGTGAGGCTACTTCCAGCTGTCTGTAGAAGGCCTCATCGACCTCCAGCTGTCTGTAGAAGGCCTCATCGACGACTTCGTCCTGATCAGGTGGCCTGTAGTAAACCCCCACCACTGTGTCACTCATGTTAGCCCACCATGTCATCCTTACCCATAAGCTCTTGGCTCACTCTTCATCCACCCCTGTGCAGAGCTCCATATATTCCAGTTGCTCTCTCACATAAAGAGCAACTCTACCACCTTGCTCGCCTTCCTGGCCTGTCTTTCCTAAAAAGCACATAGCCATTCATGATAGCATTCCAGGCATGCGAGCTCTCCCACCATGTCTCTGTAACTGCAATGACATCATAGCCATGCAACTGCACACGCATCTCTAATTCGTCCTATTTATTCCCCATGCTGCGTGCGTTGGTGTACAGGCATTTCAGAGAGGCAAATTGTTTAACAAGTTATGCTGCAGAAAATTAAATCTTGTCCTTCAGCAATATGTCTGCAAGGCTATCCTCTCTGTCCGACTCCTAATCTGTGTATGTATCTATGTATGTCTAATCCAATATGATGTAATTTTTTTGCATCTAATCTGTAAGATAGATAGGACTAGATAAACTATACCCAAACCGCTTGATCTTCCTAGGATCTTCCTAGGTATTACATTTACTGTGGTTTCATCCTTGCATTAGGATTTGATGCATGTTATTAGATGTCATGCTCTCAGCACCCAGGGAGGCATTGTTTTTACCCCCTTTTTCAGAGAAGGACTGGAGGTACAAGAGTTCAACTGCCTTTCTCATGATTACATAAATAAGAGGAAGGAATAAAGCCCATTTTGTTTTCCTAACATATTATATATTGATCTAAAACAATACTGGTGAGCACACTTTTTTTTTTTTTTTTTTTTTTTACTAATCCCTGAATTTTTCTTTGACAGCCTGGCCATTCACAATGGCATAAGAGCAGCTGAGTACCGATGAATGGCTGAAAGCTGCTTGGGCGCTATTTGGAGTAGGGACATATCCAAGCAAGCAGGCTGTGGGTGGAAGGAAAGCGCCAGCAGGGCAGGCGAGGCGGATGCGCAAGAACTTTAGGAAGTGAGAATCGTTCTTGTGCTGATGCCTGTAACAGGCCTTGTCTGTGGCTGCCACACACCCACAGAATGGACGCCTCTTCTCTAGGCGAGCATGCGTCTCCTCACGCCTGGGTGAGGAAGTCTGCACTCAGGCACCCAAGTGGTTCAAGGGAAGTCACTGTTTGCTGAAGGTCACTGGCCTGCACAGTGCCAGGCAGCTCTTGTGTCCCTAGCCATCTGTGGGCTCCAGGCGCTTCTTCATGTTATGTAGAGCCCAGTTAAAAGGAGAAATGGAGCAACTTTTTTGCTCTTTTTAACACCATGGATTTGAAGCTGGAAATGAGTTGGTATGACACATCTCAGAAACAACCAGGGATCTAGCAAGGATGAGACATGGCAATGTCTTCTGAAGACAGATCCAAGTACTTTGCTGACATGATACAGCTTGAAATTCAGGATAACGGGTGGGAAAGATTACAATGCGAGTACTGAGTCTGTTTTTAGTTGTTAATTCTTAGTTACTATAGTGATTACTACTGTTGGAACCAGAACCCCAGCAGCCCACACAGAACGTTAAAGTGGTCCTGTGCCAAACAAGCAGAAGACTCTAATCTTCAAAGGAAGACTTCAGTGGAAATTTCTACTGAGTTCAATATACTGTGATTCAAGCCCAAGGCATCTTCTAACCATTCATCCAAGTTCTCTTCTTGCAGTTTTGCAAGTGTTTATGGAAAATATATTTTAAAATAAATGGAGACAGAGGCCGAATGACTTGCGTAGAGACAGAGCTTGAACGTGGTAAGACTGACCAGGAAGTGCAAACGCTATATTCAGAGTTGCAGACTAGTTTGAGACCAAGGGAAAAATAGTTCTATATATTCCAAATAGTAAAGCTTATGAACAGAATGCACTGTATTTCTCCTTAGCTACTTTTTAAGAGTTTCATATGTTCTTCGGTATGTGAAGGATAGGATAGGAAGTAGTGTGTATTTTTCTTGTTAAATATAAACAGAAGACTATACTTTTGGCTTATATATTATCTGTGGCCCACATGAATTTTGAAGATTAGTTCAGTTATACCATCTTCAATGATAATAATGATTACAATGAATACTGTGTTGGATTTTTGTACCAGCACTTTCCCAGTATTTAATTTTTATGGTGACTTGTTTGTCTTCCAATCCTCAGCAGAGTAAATGGAATGAAAAATTATGTTGTAATTTTCTGTTTATTTGCACTCATGGTTTATCATATACTCTTACAAATATATTGCTATATACAGTGTGCATATCACTATTTGAGCAATAGTCTCTGCCCTGATGTGAAGAAGACAGGGGGAGGGAAACCAAGGCACAGGGAAAATAGGCAGTTTCCCCAAGGTCATACACCAGATCAGTAGCAGAGCCAGTGCCCCCTCCCTTGCGCTGTCACTGATTTGCACATTAACATTAACACATTGCAACAGATTCATTGGAGGAGGATGGAAAAAGTAATGAAACCACTGCGCAAATGGTGAATCAAGAAATGAAAGTGCAGGTTTTTTGGCATTAGTCATTTATGCTGGAGGTGGAGGGAGACTGTGAGGGCATCTGTCATTGGGTGAGAGAGTGGGTGGATCTGTGGCCAGCAGGGAAGCCAAACTGCTGCAGGATTAAGAAGGATATTTATGTCACAGTGACTGGTTATTATTTCCTTTCTGAGTTGCTTACAACATGCAGTAGCCTGGGCATTTTGCTTTGTGTGGCACTCTGAAGGTGAAAAAGCACAGACATCAGAGCAGCATTGCAGATCACCCCCAAGTAGAGAACTTCCATGTAGATTAGGGGGTGCAACTTGCTGAGATAGAAGTGTCTGGCACTGTAAGGCCAAGGCAATATAGTAGCTTGGTGAGAAGTGTACTCAAGTCATCTGAGTGAGGCTTCTAGAGAGGCTCGGAGCTGGGAAGCTTGCTCTCCTTAGTGAGTGTTCTTGGCAGGCCTAATCTTACTCCCAAGAAGACTCAGCTGGTGCGTTGTTACTGGTGCTAATGGGGTCAAGACAGGGCCTTTACCTGTGCTATACCTATCAAGGTAAATACTAGCCAATGCACGGAAAAAGGGCTTCCGCTCTTGGAGATTTGGAAGTAGATTCACCCCAGCAGCAAGAGAAAGGACAACCAGGAATCCATGTAAGGAGTAGTGAAGAAACGTGAACAGCCTAGTGTGCTGTGTGCACTGTAAATGCAGAACTGTCTGTTGTGTTGCTCTCCGGCTGCACAGGGACTGGGAATCTGTGTGTGTGTATGAACACTGCTATAAAGATTAGTGCCAGTGATCACTTCTGACTTTCTCAGGACATAAAATACAAGAATTGCCCTGAGCTTTAGTTTTGAACACAGCTTAAGCCACATCCCCTTGGCTGATCCATGCTATCACACAGCTACAGGCTGGTGAACAGCAAGCTCTGAGAGCAGCTGAGAGTAAGCGGGTTGTGAGAAATCTGTCCAGGAAGCTCTAAGCCACGTGGGGCTTTCAGGAGAAATCGGGCCCTGTTTGGATTGCAGTGTGCGTTCCCCTTGTCCGTTCCTTTGCATTCCTTTGTACTGCCATGAACATGAGCAAGAGGGAGAAGGCGGGGGTAGTGATTCAGCTTCGTTCTATGTGGTGTACGTGCTCCAAGCCATATGTGTGCACAGACACTCATTCCCACGGCAGCTCTGTCTGGTCCGGACTGCCCAGACAAGGTTGCGTGTAAGTGATGGGTACTCATTTGGCTACCATCTGAGGGAAAGCTGCTATAGCTGAATTCATGCTGAATAGAAATTAGAAATAAAGGGAAGTATCATCAGTAATGCATGACAGACACATCTGCATGTCCTTCCAAGGGCTGTCCCCTAGAGGAGAGGGGTTTACCACAACCCTGTGTGAATGTGACATTCTCTGTCGTGTGACGCTTACAGAAGCAAGGCCTAGGGATGGGTAAGGGCAAGAGGAGAGATGGAGGATGGCATATAAACAGAATTTTGAAAGCAAAGAGAAAGAGAAAAGTTGGAAAGAGTAAGAGAAATGAAGTGGAAAAAGAGACGAAGAGGAGATGAGTGTGAAGGAGAAGATATCTTGATGGGCAGACATGTGTATCAGAAAATAACGTGTGTTTGCTTCTCTGTGATTACAAAACTAGCCCATATATTATACAGCATTAGTGCTGCTCATTTTGCTACTGCCAAGTCTTTAAGGTTGAAAGGGACCATCATGTTATTTCTGTATAAACTCCCAAGAACTAGGTATTTTACCTAGTCGTCCCTGTGGGGAAGTGAGCTATCTTTTCCTTTAGTAGATTCACATCATTGAGCTTTCTGAAATCTTAAGAAATGTGTAAGACCTAAAATGTTCCAAGACCTTTTCACCCATAACGAGAGGGACAATTAAAATGTCACTGAACTAGATTTTTGTTGATGACAAGCATCCTGATACCGTGAAAGTGTAGCAATTCTTTGCCTGCACTATCTGATCTGCTTTCTCTCGCTATTTTTCTTTCTCATTCTTTAGGAAACCAAGATGGATTACAGCTCGTTTAGTGGAGTTCCCCGGTTCTTAACCCGGCCTAAGGCCTTTATGGTGTCTGTGGGGAAGGATGCCACCTTGAGTTGCCAGATCATTGGAAATCCCATCCCAGTTGTGAGCTGGGAAAAGGATAAACTTCCAGTCCAGTCAGGAGGAAGGTTTAAAACTACAGAAGATGGGGATCTCTACCGGCTAACAATCTATGACCTGAGCCTAGAGGACAGCGGCCAGTACATCTGCCGGGCCAAGAACACCATTGGGGAAGCTTTTGCAGCTGTCAGTATCAAAGTTGGAGAGGAGACCACAGTAACAGAGTCAGCCCCATACTTCATCCAGAAACCCACCTCCATCAAAGTAACTTTGGGAGAAGATGCCATGTTCAAATGCAAAGTTCAGGGCAGCCCGCCCCTTGCTGTGAACTGGGAGAAAGATGGGAGACACCTCCGGAACCGGGCTGATGCCAGCCGCTTCCAGATTGAGTCCGCTGGGGAGTCAAACGCGCTCACCATCCAGTGTACCCGGCTCGGGGACAGTGGCACATACACGTGCCGAGCAGAGAATCCCATCGGCTCTGCCAGTGCTTCTGCTGCACTGGTCGTGGAAACTCAGGGCTCTCATAACCCGGGCAGCAGCAGCTATTTCGACACCAGCTGCGGCAAGACCGTCTCCTTGTTGTCTCACTTGCAAAAGAGGCGAGAGGAGATCAGGAAGACGGATATTGTCCACAGCGCTCTTGATTCCATGTCCGCTCAGTCTTATTCCATGACGGAAGGGCTATCCGGCATCAGCTACAGCCTCTCCCGGGATTACGAGAGGGCAGCTGGCCTCACCACCAAAGGGGCCCGCAACGCAATGTTTGGGGCGCTAACACGCACGTGCAGCGTGACTGAGGGGAAACACGCCAAGCTGAGCTGCTATGTGACAGGGGAGCCCAAGCCAGAGATCGTGTGGAAGAAGGACAACGAGGTCATTTTGGAAGGGCGGCGGCATGTCATCTATGAGGATGACCAGGAGAACTTTGTGCTGAAGATCCTCTTTTGCAAGCAGGTGGATAATGGGCTGTATACCTGCACAGCCTCCAACCTTGCAGGCCAGACCTACAGCTCTGTGCTGGTCACTGTCAAAGGTGGGTGGTTACATTTGCTAACGGGAGCGGGTAGCCTTGCATGGAGACAAAGCCAATGTGCTCCTGAGTTGGTGTGGGAGCGTCAGAGTCCAATACTCTCTGACCAGGTTCTTCTAGATATTCCATATGTAGAAGGTGTAATGTTTAGTATCAAATTTAAGTGTTTGAAGATTTTGATTTTTTTACTTCAATTTTAATATCAATTTTACTAGTTTATGATTTTGAGTTAGCCGAGTGGTACAGCAATATACAGAAATCACCATACAGGTGTAAGTTAGACTTAGCAGAATATATGAGTTGGGATATACAGTTGAGTCACAACACAAATGTGAATCTCATTACCGGTTTTTGTGATATGCTCACCATCACAATGATGGGCATCCCCAGTCACTGGGAAGGAATACGTGGGTTGAAACCAGCTCAAGCCCACTGCTCTCTTCAAAGCTGAGCCATATACTCACTCCCTCCGTGCTGGTCTGTCTAAGGGAGAGATTCACAATCTTTTGATTAACTCAAGGAAGAAACATTTACACAACCGTTGGTCTACTGTGATGTAGTCAGTTGATCTAGTGAACTGATAGAGCTGTTTATGTAAAAGAAAGGGTCCAGTCTTCTTTGTACTAGATAAATTCAGCTTTCTTTGCAACAGCTGTGGTCAGTCACTCCCTAATCTTCCCTGAGCTTCATGGGCACGTGGTCTTTGCCCATCTCCTCTGAGCCTTCTTCCTTTGCAGGGGTTACTGGAGTATGAGCAAAGTTTCTGCCGCAAAACTGCATCAAGGGAAATGTGGATTAGATGTGAGGAAAAGCCCTTTAGCTGTAAAGGGAGTTAACCACTGGAAAAGATGACCCAGGGAAAGGGAGAGCCTCATCACTATGAATTTATAAGAAGGGCATAAACAAGTATCAGTGAGGGCTGGATGATGTAGAAGTGGCTGGTTGTGTGGCAGCTGGAATAGACTAGATCCCTAAAACTCTCTTTCAGTCTAGTTTTATAGTAAGCTATGAGATCTATTACCATCCTTTGGTTCAGTGACTGCAAAAAAAACCCCATCTTACACTCCAGGGTTTAATCAAACCTCATGTGTACCTGGAAGAAACTTCTCTCTGCAAGCTGAGTGTGTCAGGCTGCCTTAGATCCCTTGGGAGACTTACCCCAACTCTAATCACAGCCCCCTCTCAGTTTTTCTCTCCAGGATGACCCACCTTTTCCCAGCTTGTGCTGCTGGATATCCTATAGTCCTTATATGCTCCCAGAACTACCAGTTCCAGGACGCCTCTGTCCTTTGTGGTCAGTAGTGATAAGGCAAATCTGAATTTGCCTTGAGAGAGTCCCCCAACTCTGGTGGAGGTTCAAGCAAGTTCTTCAGAACCGTGGGAAAAATGTGACAGAAATATTTTTACAAAGGAAGTTCTAAATTTTCTAGCTACTCTCCCATTCGGCAAGGTTTCAAGCAGCACCTATAAATTAACTTTCAGATGTGAAAGCTTTGCTTCTGTAAGTCAAGTGGTAAAATAGACTTTTCTGACTGACAGCAAAATATTTTAGAAATCCAAATGAGTAGGAAGGCTCTGTGTCTTGTACCCATTTTCAAGAGCTTCAGCTTTTATTTGCTTTTCTCTTTTCCCTGTTCTGGACCTCTCCTTTCACATTCACTGTCTTTCCCATCAATGACTTATTCCCTGTGTCCATCAGAGACATCTGATCCATGGAGCTCTCTGGCAACAGTCCCATTCATTGCCGTCCGTGGGAGGTGCTGAGTGGTGTCAGGAAAGGCATTTGGCTTGTTCCGTAAAGCTTTGACTCTCTTATGAGACAGGACTCAAAGGAAAAGACTGATCCCGGCCCTTGGGTGGGTGTTCAGTCTGAGGATGGCTCAAGTGCCGTTACTTGCCCCGTGCCTGTCTTGCAAAGACAAGCATCTCCCCAGGGCCCATGCTTATTTGACTAATCCCAGTGGGTGCAACCCGTTCCAAAGGAGATGGGGAAAGCAGGCAAAGCAGCAGGTCTGGGAGCAAGCAGCATGGGAAAAGGTTATTTATCAATGTCCATTGTGAAGGGACAGCTGTGAGTCAGAGGGACAAAGCAGAAATGTTTATGGTCTGTTTCTTTGTTACTGTAGAGCCATGTTGGGTTTTCTGATTAGGCCAAGGCTGCCATGGAAAATCTGTGTTTGTTGGTTATAATTAGGCCCTGGATAATGACTCTCCTTTGTGCCACCAGAAGTCCTTCTCAGCCCTTCAAAGACACAGCTCCAAACGATGTAGCAATGAAGGGAGTTTTTAATATGCTATTTATGCCACTGATTATGTGTTATTAGCTCATCTGCCATCATGTTTTTGAGGGCAGATCATCTTGCCAAACAATCTTCTCTTTGCTCAGTAATGCAGAAGGGGCTGATTTCTCCAGGCAGTGACCTTCTGTTAGCATGATGCTGCTGCATTGGTTTTTATAAAGGTAACAGCCTATTTATACAGCCCGTGATACTGTATCCCAAGCATGTGTCTATAGATGCAGATACCTACGAGGATAAGTTTCACAGGTTTAATACTCCGTAGGATTCTGATTCGCATACAGCACATAATTTAAACAGAAGAATCTGAATTAGGGTATTTATGGGTGTGTTGAAGGTAAGAACATTGAAAAAGGCCATGCAGCCCATGCAGCCCAGCATCCTGTCTCTAAGGTGGATATTAGCGGCCACTCAGGGAATGGAACTGAGCACAGGTCAAGCCTCTTCTAGTCTGCCCTCTGATACTCTGTCAATCTAGCTTTTAAGCCTAGGGACGGCAGCACATTTGTAAGCACTTTGCTGAATCCATGCCTTAAAGATCATTGAGCTAAAAAGAAGAGATTTTTGAACTGTTCCTAAATGAGGTGCAGTGAATCAGATGTAAATCTCCAAGAAGAGGCTACAGGGCAGACGGTCACTCTCACAATTAAGGAAGACCAAGAGTCAGTCTCTCCGAGACTGTGGCATTCAGAAATGTGCTGGATTCTAGTGTCTTCAGCAGGGGTAAAATCACAAGCCATATGCTGAAATTCAAGCTGCAAAAGAAGTTAGGAAATGCTTCCAAAGAGTAAGCCTCATCGGACAAGTCATTTCCAGAAGAGCAGAGAGGATGGGAGGAACATGAATAAATGACTTGAATTTCCTGAAGGCTGATGTGATGTTCCTAGGCTATGTTTAAAGTTAGCAAGAACAGTGTACAGGTCTCCATCCTTGGGCCTGGGCCAAGGAAGGTTCATCTGAGTAAAGGAATTTGGGACTGGGTCCCTGAATTCAGAGGGACTAGTTCAGTAATCGGATACTTTACATAAAGGTTAAAGGTTGCGAGGCAAATAGGATGAAGAATGGAAAAACAGACTATTAGAGGCCAGTTCTTTCTTCCTCTGCTCTGAAGTGACATTGGGTGACCATTCTCATGGCAGTGACACTTGAGGTTTGAAAAAGAATTGAAACTTGAGAAATATGGAGGCACAGGGGAAAACTGGAAACCACAGTAGGGAAGACCACAGTAGGAACTACATGGGAGTGCGACCAAAGGTTAGAAGCTTGTCTGTACACCTTTAGCTCCCTTTGTAAAAATTCTCCATATTCTCACTATCATTGGATCATTTTTATTTGGCAGAGGGAAAATTGGACTCTGGAATAATAAATGGGCAGCCCATGAGAAGCCCAAGAGCAGGCAGGAGGAAATGCAGGCGGGTGAGAAGACCAGGTCAGACAGACAGATATGCCTTATGAAGGTTGAGGAAACACTGGCTTCTTTGCAGCCTGCACCTGTTCTTAGCAAAATATGTGTTAGCAGGACCTACTTTTAAAAAATAACATCATCTCATTGCTAGTTTGGTTGGTATGGACCAAACAAAAGTATATGACTCTCTGGAGAAATATTTTCTCAAGACAAGCAGCCGAATTCATAGCTGGTTTAAGCTCTTGTAGCTTCCCACTAACTCCATGAGCTGCTCCTGCTCCATGCTGGCGCTGGGTTTTACTTTGCTGTTTCCTTCTCATATTTGTCCCGATACATAGATTTTTGTAGAGCTCTTGTTTTGCAAGTACTTCTTTAGAAATTATATTATTGGCTTCATTATATGCCTTAATGTGCATTTCTGCTTTGGCTAAAAACAGATCAACAGGAAAACGTGTGCGGTTAAATTGCAGAGAACTCATCATTTAAAATAAGAAATGATATTGATACTAGAGGTGAATTTAAATAACCTCTCAGGGCACTGTGAATAAATGAAAATGAGTCATGTGCTGGAGTCCAGCTGAGCTCTGAGCTTTCATGGAAGTAACTGTTAATCGGAAGAAGTGTTTCTTACTTTTGATCTGATTTTGTATTGAACTGCACCCACCTGAACTGCTCTGTTAGCTCTGTCTAAACTGTGTTTTCCATGCTTCATGACACTCGTTTTTCTCCTGTTCTGAGCTGTGGTGACTTGAGCAGAGGTGAAAGTGCTTTCGTGTTGTGGGAGATGCAGCTCAGCTGGGAGAGTGTCTCTTAGGAAAGGATATGGTCATGAAACAGTGAAACTGTGGCTTCCAGAAAGGCAAAATCAACTGAAGAAAAGAGATTTTCTTCAACATTCCCGAACGTTTCAGCTCTTGTCGTTATGACACAAATCACTTAGATTTTGTCAATGAAAATTCGAATAGTTGAATTTTGAACATAATCGGCATTTTGCTGTGGAACGTAGAGACTTACCAGAAATTACCTTTCTTATTGAATGTTAGATAGCATCTAACTAGCTCTGATATTTACAGGAGCTATGTATGGGAATTGGTGGCACTTCTGATCTGAAACGGAGGATCCCTGTGAGAATTATGTCAAATGCAACCTCAGCTGAATGCACTTTCTGCTTTTCTTCCAAGGACATTTTCAAATGTTATGAAAATTTTGAATAATAAGGAAAACAGTAGAAAGCGAAATGGTTTTATCTTCCGTGTTAGAATAATATTTAAGATGGGCTCCCATTTATAATTCCTTGCAAAAGGCTAAGACATGATTAATAGGCATTTAAAAATGAGCAATCAACAGTTATGGGATCTGACAGATCAAATATAGTTTTCTGCAGGAACTCTTCCTGATGTACCTATATTAGTCATAGCACAGAATATTTCTGAATTGTTTCCTGCCCCTTTATGAATGGGGACTTTGAAATATATTAATTCCAGCCAAAGATGAGGATACCTACTATGCTGGGTGCTGTACAAATAGGTAGCAGTGTACACCTACATTAGAGAATTTGCAATGTAGTCTCTCAAGATATGACAGACGAGAGACCAGCTTGGGGTGAAAAGGAATATTATGGAGCTCTCTGCTCAACTCATCATTTGGTCCAGTGGGAGAAAAAGCGTATTTGTTTATTTTCACATTTAGCTCGTAAAGTTGATCATCTTTAAACTGAAAAGCCAGTATGAAGTCTTCTGCTTCCTTCCTGAGCTCACAGCTTTTTCATGTAAATATTATATGGTCATATAGTCAGACTGTGTTTATTAGTCTACTAACAAGGAAGATCAACCAACTGCCTTTCATAGATCTTTCCTTGAGATCTTTCCTTGATTCTTATGTGTTTGTACACTTAGGAACTTTTTCCTCTTTTTCCTAGAGAAGCTTAGAGAAGCTTAGAGAAGCTTTTTTTGGTTTGTTTGTTTATTTTTACTTTAGCTATTGTTCGGAGACTGCAAAGGGGCAGGGGTTAATGATGTGCCTAATTGCTCCAAATACAGAAATATGCTTGTGTGCTTCTCCTGCGCATCTCTCATGTTCTCACAGTGCACTCTCATCACTATGAGCTTGCATCTCGTACATCACCGTTACATCCAGTTCCATGAGCCTGGCATCCTTCTGATAAATGCTTTCTTGGTCTCATCCTCTGTCTTGGTTCTGGAGCATGAGTTGCACCCAGTTCATTCCTCCTGACTGCATGGGGTATTTCCAGAGGTGATATGCAAGATTGCAGGGTAGGAGTATGAGCTGCATGTTGGTTAGAGAGAAGAGGAAAATTAATATGCCAAGGGAGGTCGGAGCAGGTCTGTCTTACTGTAGTTGAAGACTTTTTTTAGGTAAGATTTTGACTTGCCTTGGAATGAGGCATGTTAGGGGAGAACCTTTTCAAGAAAATAACCAAATCAACAAGGCAGGTTAGTGGCAGGCTCTCATGTGCTCCTTAGTTATTTTACAAGTTCCCAGTCAGGTTTTAATCTCTGAATAACAATTGAGATAGCAGATAGTATTGTTGCCTGCTGGTGTCCCGTCAGACCCTGGGTGCCTGACGGGACAGCTCAGGCTGTGTTCAGCTAGAAATGATGGGAGTTGTTTGTGTGACAGCTGCAATCTTGGCTGTGCCAGGGAGGAGGACCTGCAAAACCGAATATATGAGTTTCAAGGCTTGAGTTCATAAGAGAACTAAGCGAACCAAAGACAGCCCTGTTCCCGTAACAGGCTCCTGCTTCCTAATGGTTGGGACAGAAGGAGATAGATGACTGACTCAGTTCTACACTGAACAACCAAGAGTAGTAAAAGCCACTTTTAAACCATGCTCCATCCAACCAGAAGTGTTGCAGGCTGGGAAGCAGGTTTTCATGCAGTGCGCGTGCACGTGCATGTGCACACATCAGCCCTTCTTTCTCAGAAGTAAGGGCAGTTTTGTGCTTCTTCTGTTTTTCTCTGCAGCACCATACCCACTACACAGTTCTGAGTTTTGTAAAATGGAGGCCCTGATCGCCAAAGCTTAAATCTGGGATTTTTTTTGCGGGCCTTGATTTGTGTTTCTCCAGACTCTAGAGCAGGGTGACTCTGAGAGGGATATGCCACTGCAAGCAAGGGGTCAGCAATCTAAGAGAAATTCACTTCTATCTGACATTGAGGCTAATGCCTAGCATTACGAGCTCATGGTGGCCATGTGAAATTATCTGCCGGGAGTGAATAAGGAAAGGGAGAAGAGGGTCATAAGAAACGACTGGAAATAGATGCAGTAGTTATCAGAAGATGCAGGGTACATACTGGGATGTGATCTCTCACCAAGCGTGAATGGTGATGCATTAGCACTGGCTAATCCAGGTTTGCTGCATGACTCTGTCCCATGGCTGTGATCAGAAGTGTCCTGTTTAGTTCAATTCTTCCTTCTCTATTTCAGTGCTGGGGTATCAGGGTGATTTCACAGCTCAGCTGTCACTGGATTTAAATGATATCTATATTGTTCTTTTCGTAAAAAGTCTTCAGCCACTGCCATGCCGCTGTTTTGCATGTTTGAGCTACACTCTGGTTTCTTCCTAAGCTGGAACAGTCCAATTGCTGAAAGAAAGAAGAGGCAGGTGGGAAACATGGGCTTTTTCTCTAGTTTTTTTGTTGTCATTGACAAATCTGATTCAGGGACTTTGGTGCTTTGGGGAGAACAAAAACCTTCCCCGTCATTAATTCTGTGCTTTCCTCCATGTTTTTGCTTGAGTGCACAGCTGCCTCTGGTCTTTTTGTACCCTTTCAGATCCCTCCAATAAGCTCATTTCTGCTCCAGGACCCATAAAACATTGTTTCTTGTAACAGCTGACTGTCTCAACTGCTTACACTCCCCCAGAAATGGCTTCCCTGTTTCCTTTCTCTAAACCTAGCTTGTTTGCTATTTACCCACCCATAGAAACTAGTTTTAATAAAGGCTTTTACGCTAAAGTGAGGTGGCTTGTGCTATATGGAGGGTCAGGTTGGATAGTCCCTGCCCTTCGTCTTGTTGGCCTGTGGGTCAGAGTGCAATGCAGAAAGGTTCACCCTAGAGGACAAGCAGGCCAGGAGAGCAGAGTTTATTAACCTGAGGCTGCACCAACACATTCGTATTTCTTTCGGTTAGAGCTACCACCTCTGTGTGGTTCTGTGGGGCAGGCACCACAGCTCAGGTTAACAGTTGTTCACTCATAGTCAAGTCCTGCAAAATATTTCTGCTGAGATCTAAGATTTTATGGGCTAGAATGACTCCTTTCTTACATGAGAGCAGCAAACAATTGCAGTAGGTCTTGATTTTGGGTTTGGATGGTAGCTCAATACAAAACAACATAATTAATAGGAAATGTTATGTTTTTCTACTGAGTTATTTATTTGCACACATCTTACTTCAGACTATCACCAATTCTTATTTCTCCCTTCTTTTTTTTCATTCTTTAAGAACCCTCAATACCCTTCAAGGAAAAGCTGAAGGATCTTGAAGTTCGGGAGAAAGAATCTGCCACCTTCCAATGTGAGGTGCCTGTTCCTAGTACAGAAACGGCTTGGTTCAAGGAGGAAACCAAACTCCAGCAGAGTAAGAAATACAACATTGAAGAAGAGGGCACGTATCGCCGGCTCACTGTCCAGGATGTCACCACAGATGATGATGCTGTCTATATCTGTGAGATGAAAGAGGGGAGCAGGACAATCGCAGAGTTGTCTGTCCAAGGTAAGAGTGAGTCTTGCTACTGCAGATGGGGCAGCTCTCTCTCTGAGATGCGCACAGGAGGCTCCAGATTCAAGCTTCCTATCAGCATTTATCCTGTGTGTGCATACAGTGCGGAACAGTAGGCTCCCCTATGGTGTGCGTAGATGAGCCGCATGTGGCTGGTCAGTGGGTCCCTGGGATCTCCTGGCAGGATGAGTCTGGGACACAGGGTCATAGAGCTGGAAGAAACTGTGTTGCTGCACGATGGTTGCACATACCTCACATGGGTGGGACCTGTGTTTAGGAGTGCTTCCTAGAAAGCAAAATCCTTGAGCTGTAGCCTAGCATTGTAGCCTTTCCTTAACGTGATCTCAAATACTGAACGTATCCCCTGACACTGTCTCACACAGATCTTGTCAGGTGTCTTGTGAACACAGTGGTAAATGTTGTCTGGCTGTGGTGCTGATTACACTGGGAAGGTGGCTTAGCAGCCGTATTTTATGGTCTGATGCATAGTGTAGACTGTAGTCAACTCCACTGTGATTTTTGTTGGAAACAAGATCCACATTCCCTGACATCCAGACCTGTGCTCTGGAGTGTGGAAAGATAAGGAGGGGGCAAAATGTGGATGTAGGTCCACCTCCAAGTCCAGGTTTCCCCAGAGTTTGATGATTTAGGATTGAACTGAATCCAGGTGGAGGCTCTGGTATGGTATAAGTGTCTCATAGACACACAGCCACAGTCTGAAGGAGGAGGCATCATTTTTGAACTCACTGATCTTCTGTATGAACAAGTACTTACCCATGCAAGTCCAGGACCTTTAGTTCTGATTTTGATGCTGCTTGTGTTAGTATTATTGACACATGTCTCCAGTAACATGAATTGGAGATCTGTTGTAACAGCTACAGGACTGCACTTGTTTTGTCTCATTTAAAGCTTCTCTTTACTGCCACTGAAACCAGAAGTTGTAGACTACATGAATTGGTATAAGATACCTGGGGAATGTGCATCCTTGATACGTGCTCGTGCACATTTCTTTTCTTGTACCATTAGCAAGCAGATAAGAGTGCTCTTGGGTGAAAGCATAAGGAGAAATTTAGCCCAAAGACATGAGAGTTCGTACAAGACATCCTTTTGTTACAGCTCTACCAAGACTGAGCCATCCAAATACCGTAAGCCTATTTAGCCTCAGTAGGACAGATGGCATTTATTTTACTTGTTTGTGTTATGATACTACAACATGTTCCATTAAATAGAGAGTGACTGAGTCAGGTGGAGTCCTCAGGAGGGAAAGAAGGCAGAGCCTTCTTGTGGGAGCCCTGTGCCTGCCCAGGGGAGAACATTCGAGAGAGCAGGGTGGGGTAGGGATAATGTGAGAGCTTGGCAGGATGCACAGCCCCATGGTGCTGCAGAGACTGGAACACCACCGAGCGCAGCAAGGAGCAGACACACTGCCAAGCTTAAGAAAGGATGAGCAGAGACTTTCTAGGGACTCAGAGGGTACTGCACAGAGTCTACTGCAACCTATGAAGGTGTTGAGTTGTAGCCTGAAACCAAGCTTGAGTGAAGGGCCCCATCTGCGAGGGCAGGTTTCGTTAGAAACTTGTTTTATTTCTGTGAATTTAGTCGTTCCCAGCTTGCCTGCTCTGATTTTTGATCTAATAAGACCTGGCTCTGAAATTTCAAGTTTCAGTCCGCATAAGGAGCTCACATAAAGACAAAGTCAGTGCAGGTCACGCTCAAAGTTCTGATCAACTTTGGTCCGCTAATGCTTTTTAGAGAGACCCACCTGTGGCTAAAATAATGGCACAAATACTTAAAACACTTGTAAATGACTTCTGTTGTATGGCTGCAAGTCTAACACAGCTTCGTATTTTAAGATGTAAACAGATCTCTTGTGGGCGTTGGAAGAAATCTTTTCTTTCCAAAGTCATAGCATTACATCATTAGTTGAGAGCATTCTGGTTTGGAGTTGGGGTACTGAATCCTAGTGCTGAAAACATGTGCGTGATCTGTTGTTTCATGAAACACTTCAGCATTGCTTCTCATTAAAGAGCTTCAGATGCTTTGCCTTGGTGAGGGCACTTTTGCCTTGCAGGGACTGTTCCCAAGGCTAAAGCAAATCTCTGTCTATCAATAGGGATGGTCTCTTGATGTTCTGCCCAAACGTACCTGGGAATAATCACGTCTTGTAACTTTGAGGCTATTCTAATAAGTTATAATCATCCCACTAACTTGGAAAGGCTACCAGTAAGTGGAGTTCATTCCATGCAAATTTCTGAATTTGCTGTAAAAAGGAATCTCTGGGGTTCTCAATGTATTTTCCGTTATGTCAGGTGACCAGTATGTTTGGACCCTTGGTTATGTAGCGTACTGGTCATATGGTGGAGAAAAAATCCTAAAGACAACAGAGGGACCTCTCTGGTTTAAGACTCACCTACTTTAGCAAAGTTTTCATGTGGCTTTTATTGTCTGCACATACTGGGAATTCACATTACTGTCAAGTCTGTTCTTGGCAAGGCTGCATACCATGTATTTATTTAACACAAGATACTACTGCATGTTAGACTAGAAACATGGGTGACCATAGTCAAATAAAAGATTTTTTTTCCTCTCTTTGAGGGCCAGAATGAGCCATTGACGTTACTTGTTTGACTTGCTATATAACATAGAGTCTATAATTTCATTTAGGGATGTCTGCATAGTGTCTGTAATGGTTTGATTAGGTGAGAGCAGCTGGCTAGGTCTGGTGTAGTCTGCGTAGTCCAGTGTTACTAGAGACTTTAGTCTTCTGTATCTGCTATTTGCTGATCATAATTGGTTCCTCATTTAAAGGGAACATCATTAAAAAACTTCCAAGAAAGACTGCAGTGCACGTAAATGATACAGCCATCTTCTGTGTGGAGCTGGACAATGAATGCCAGAACATCCGCTGGCTGAAGAATAAAGAAGAAGTGAAACCCAGCGATCGAATCACCATCGCATGCTCTGGCAAGCAACACACCATGATCATCCGAGAGTGTAATATGGAAGATGCTGGTGAGATTGCCTTCCTGGCTGATGAAAGCAGAACTTCTACTCAGTTCACTGTGACCAGTAAGCTTCACTTTTATTCAGCCTTGGTGTTATATCTTCCCCAGCAAGCAGGTGCTCCCATGTTAGTAGCGTTCTCTCCAAATGTTGCCATGGTAAGTTGTGCATTGGCCAAAGATGGTGGCAAGTTCTGTGTCTGCCACAAAAGGCTCACAACCAGAAAGGGAGCTTTATAAGATTTTAGGGAGAGATCAAAACGGAGAGAGAAGACAAGTCCTGGGAAAAAGCATAGCCCGCATGTGTGTTTTCTCTGTATTGGTCTGGAACGAACATAAAATGATAATTGAGTAGGACACAGAGCAGGGGCTGTGGGCTTCTCCCCACTAGAGGTGCCTAGAAAACCAGTTTGTAAGTTATGTACATTGCAGTTGTCCTTCACTGCACGCACAACTCTGTGAATGTCCTAAACGCCTAGCTCAATGTGTAAGATAAGCTTTCAAAAAACATTTGGTTCTGTGGGGAACATTTACCATTTCCTGTTGTGGGACTAATGCCTTTTCCAGAAAACAGGCTTCTCAGTTCTCTCTCTTCTCTGAGGATTTGGAGGCATGAGTTGGCCAGCATTCAGTTCCTTCCCTACCTTCTGAGACTGCAGACATGTGAGGGTTAGCTGCTGGGTGTGCTGACTCTTACTGGGAAGCAGAGAGGGCTCTAGAGTATTCTGTGGGGTGTGTGAAGTTTATTTGTATTCTAGCAAGTAAAAACCTCTGTGAAAGAACATCTCTATAGGTGCACACTATACATTTCAGGTGCAGTACAGTGTTTAACCAGCTTGAAGCATTTTGCTTTGATTTTAGCTTCTTAAGCTGCTTGCTTTACAATAAAATAAAAATTCTACAGGGAAAAGGGGAGATGCCTCCTCCTGAAAAGTAATTTCCTCCTTGTCATTGAGACCAGCAAAGCCATGTCATTTCTTTTCCCCTCTTTGACACGAAGGTGCTGGCAGAACCCTGTTGAAGTAGCTATGCTGACAAAAGAGACCTTTGGCTTTTCTGGCTTCACTTAGGAACATTGATATACATGACAGGCAGGCTGACGAATTCCTTCAGCTGACAGATCTGGTCTGAGCAAGGGTCTCAGCTGACAGAGCTGTAGCAGCAGGTGCAGTGTGGTTGAGACAAGGCCTGAAATGAAATTTTGGTGAAATGGCCTTAATTTTATGAAGCTATTTCTATTTTGATGGACTGCATTTCCCAGCAAAAGCTGCCTCATCTAAGAGAGAGAACTGCATTTGGTTTCTAGCTCTGCTGCAATTCCTATTTGCATGTTGGAAAAGTCACCAACTGTGGTATTTTTTGTCACCTTTTCTCCCACCAGCAGCTCTGAATTACAATTGCTCAGTGGTAATAAATAACGGTTTATAACTGCTATATGACCTCAGCTTGGTTGGGGCATTCTGGTGCTATTAAGCTACAGGTATTAACAAGAAAAAAAGATAAGGCTTGCACTTATGCACAACTTGCATTGTGACAGTCTCTAAGGTATTTGGAAAGTGGTCACATCCATCCAAGCACTCTGTGATGGGGGTGACAAAGTCTCATTTTAACTTCTGACTCTGCTGTTCAAGTGATGAAGCAGGAGCGAATTCATGTAACTGAAAAAGTTAAGAAGCTCCCTTCCCATACACACGTATTTCTGAACAAAATATTACGTTACGTTTGCTGATGGTAAGGTCGGGAGATTTGATTCCAGCGTTTAGTGTTCAGTGTTCCTACACTAGCAGGACCTTTGGCATCTAACTTAATGCTACACTAGCAGGACCTTTGGCATCTAACTCTGACCAGCAGTAGCTGACAGGGTGGTAACTGTGCACCCCAAAGCATTTAGGTCTCTGCTTATGTAAGGAAGGAAAAGTGTATCATGTTGAGATTTCCAATTTCTACACTTCATGTGTCCCTGATTAGCTCCTTGAAGGATCCCGCGTACTATGTTCACATCTTTTTTGATTAGTTAGTGTTGGCAGATCTAATAGCATTTATCAGGCAAGCAATATTAATATTCTGTTTGCCCCCGTATCTTGCATTGTTTCTGCGCTCATTTTACAGATGGGCAAACTGAGGCAGAGAGCAGATCGGTTGTCTTGGAGCTTGGTTTTTAATCTAGGCTTATTGCACATATCCCTCTAAAGTCAATGAATTTCTGAACATCTGCAATGTGCAGTTCATTTCACCTGTCTCACACACCTACTTTAAGCTGGGATGAATTTTACCTGAGAGTGCTTTTTTCCACAGATTATAGGGGAATTCTGACCAGACACCTAACTTCCAGATAGCCAAAATTACACAAAATGAATCCCTTACTGTGTCAGTAGATCTGTAGCTAGAACATATCAGATAATTCCCAGCCTCTTGCCCTTGTCAGTGGCAGCACATAGTGAATAACTTCCATGAGGTTTTAGCCTTCTCTGAAGAGTTCAAGAGTGGTCAGAGGAAGTGAACATAAATCTGAGTTATGCAAATACCTTCAAAAATACTTGTGTCATATTTGACCTCAGATACCATAAAATCGACAGGTGGATTTCCTTGATTGTGGGGTCTCACGGTCGGAGTGTGTCTTTATGATATTTCCTTCTGAAGTTAATTCCCCAGCCCTAAAAGCTGGCTCCCCATAAATTACCAAAAAAGGTCTTTCCTTACAGAGATCCCCAGAAGGCAGCTATCACTCTTGGGAGATAAAGTTACAAGGGGCCTTTGAGTGGGGATGGCATAAAATTCAGAAGCAGAACAGAGGAGAGATTTTTCAAGTGAAATTGGCTGCAGAGAAAGGCCAGGCTTGTATGGCAAGCAACTGAGGCATCCAGAAAGGAGTGTGACCCATGAACTGTTCATTCATGCCTATCTTGTATCTCTGAAATGTCCAGTGGTACGATGTTTAGTAGGCCTGTGTTTAAGCCTGTTGAGTGGCCTGTGTTTAAGCCTGTTTAAGCCTGTTGGAGCGGGTTCTTGGTAAGAAATGGAGCAGATGGTCTCCTAGCTCAGGGTGCCTTTTAGGGAGTGGATTTATATTGCTGCCCAGGATGCCACATCAGTGTGTAGAGCATTGCAAAATGTCATTAAGCTCTTCCTTGAAATGAAGATGCATGTGCCACGGATTGGTTCTTACAGGCACATCTACGTCCTTGACTGCAGGGACTTGTATCGCTGAAACTCTGACAGAAGGTTAATCCCAGGAGACTTGCAGTGTCAGTGCAGATCTGTTCTTTGCAACTCTCCCTGTGCAATGGCAATGATGTCTGGTGAGCAGGTGGATGAAGGGCTGTCTTGCCAAGTAAGCCTATTGATGTCTCTTGTTTTAGCCTGGATTCACACTGGGAAACTGGAACAGGAATTTGGTGTATAGAATTCTGGACACCCTCTGATGGTGGTTTTACCTGTTGTCTGAGTGAATATATCAAATTGAACGTTAAACTATTTTGCCCAGGAGCCGTACTGGAAGTGGTATGGGTCTATATTTAGCACTGAAAAAATAAACCTGTGAGTTGTTCACAGTAAACTCTTTGTCTGTGCAGACAATCAGTAAAGTTGTGTAGGGATCACATATGTTTAGCTATTAAGAATATTGCACATCTTTGTGTAAGGGGTATAATGCGATCCGGAAGTATCTTTTATCCATTCTCCTGCTTTTCCATCTCACATCAAAGTTTTCCTGAGTTTTATTAACCTCAAATATCCTTCAGACCTGGGCAAGCTCAGATGATTTTTTTTCTATGAAATAGAGTGGATTTTCAGCTCTGATACAAATTTCTTGTCCTGTTTTTGTTCCTGTGCAGCACCCAAAAAACCTCCCATGCAACCCCCAGTCGACCCTGTGGTGAAAAATAAAACAGAAACCTCAGTGACGCTAGCATGGTCCCCTCCAAAGATGGACTACCCCCTTCCAATCGATGGCTACGTAGTGGAACGCAAGAAGCTAACTGGCTTTACCTGGGTGAGGTGTCATGAGTCTCCTGTGCCTGTCCCAGAGTTCACGGTGAGCAACCTGTCAGAAGAGGCTGACTATCAATTCCGAGTATCTGCAGTCAACACATATGGACAGAGCCCCTATCTGGAATTCCCAGGAAGCCTGCACCTTGGTGAGCACAAAACCCCCTAAAAGTGGATGGGTCTATGCTGATCTGCCATGCCATCTTTTTAAAGATATGACCATGAGGAGGATAGAACATATGAAAACCTCTTTGCCTTTTCTGGTAGTTCTCCTGTGTCGTTTCAATCACTGATCATGCATGGCAAAAGGGATGCAGGGTGTGCTACAGCCATGAGGATGCTTATACTTTGATCTCTCACATCAGACCGTGTGAAAGGCAGAGTACTTTGCAATGAATCTTAAGCTTGTAAGTGCTTTGTGCAAAGCTGGTGTGAAAGGAGAAAAAGAGATGCACTTAATGATATAATCTTCAGTATTTAAATGGCATACTGAATGTGCAGCTAGAGAATATTTATGTGGTGATAATACTATCAGGAAAAACAAGTTCCAGTCTCTTTAGTTGTAGGGTTCCTAGGAGAAATATGGGGATTTTGCTTTATCTTGAGGGTGCCAATGTTCAAACAGAATCACTGCGTGCAATGAGATTGTTTCTTCCTTTAATTCATTGCATGGAACAATATTTGTTTGGGCTTGATCATGCTGTGTCTTGATATTGTGCAATCCTTTTTCCCAGCAGTCAGAACACGGCTGTATTTTTCTAGGAGGTCTAGAAGTGACTAGTGGGCTGGGTGACCTCCTGAGGACCCTTCTGAAATATGAGAATAATACTGCTTAATAAATAAACAGAATACTTGCTATGGATTCTAGGTAATTCAAACTTGTTATGCCCTTAAAAATCTAAGGAAAAAATAAGTAAAATATACCCATTGTTCTGTCCCTGCAGAAAAAGGACTTACCTTAACACCACAGGTCATTTATCTGCAGCCATAGAAATCAAATCCTGTTGAATGTGCGTTGCCTTCAGTCCATAAAAATCGTATAAGAGCCGAAAGATTTTTTTTGTCTTAATTACAGAATCACAGAATCACAGAATATCTAGTCCAACCATCCTGCTCAAGCAGGGTCACCTAGAGCATATTGCCCAGGATCACATCCAGACAGGTTTTGAATATCTCCAGGGAAGGAGACTCCACAAGCTCTCTGGGCAACCTGTGCCAGTGCTCTGTCACCCTCACAGCAAAGAAGTTTTTCCTCATGTTCAGATGGAACTTCCTGCGGTTCAGTTTCTGCCCGTTGCCTCTTGTCCTGTTGCTGGGCACCACGGAAAAGAGTCTGGCCTCATCCTCTTGACACCCCCCCTTCAGATACTTGTACACGTTGATGAGATCACCTCTCAGTCTTCTCTTCCCCAGGCTAAACAGGCCCAGCTCTCTTAACCTTTATTCATAGGAGAGATGCTCCAGTCCCCTCACCATCTTTGTAGCCCTCTGCTGGACTCTCTCCAGGAGTGCCATGTCTCTCTTGTACTGGGCAGCCCAGAATTAGACACAGAATTCCCCATTTACCCTCTAAGAACTTTATTCCTAGGAAGGACTGCTCTTCAGCATGGCAGCCTTGTGTCCTTTTGTCTCAGACGTGTGTTGTTGTTCTTCCTCAGCACCGGTCCTGGCTGTGAAAACCCCACTAACAACTACTGAAGCTGTACCTGGAGGGGATGCCACATTTACTGTTGACCTTACAACGACTTGTTCTGGCACTTGGTACCTTAACGGTAAAGTCTTACAGGAAAGTGAGACCTGTATCATTAAGAAAACTCAAACTACTCACACTCTGATCATAAAGAACGTCACCAAGAACGATGATGGAGCAGAAGTGAAATTTGTCACCGGTAATGTTAATACCAGCACCAACATGAGAGTGAGAGGTATTTACTTTGGTCTCTATCCTTCCTCTAGTAAAGGGACAGTTGCAGTGATGTGATGATTCTGGGGTGGATGCCCTCATTGAGTGGGGCCTACACTGTAGGAGGTACCCAAAATCATGTCCCGTGAGCTAGCGTGGATCCTAGTAATAACCTAGCCATGGCAGGGCGAAGTTCAGAGTGAGTTACTTACCCAGCTGCTTGGTATCTGGACTGCTTAACATCAGCTCAAGAATTTCTGTGGTATGGGGCCATCAGTCAATGGATTTTGTGACCGTATCTACCACTGGGTCAGTGTGTGACCTTAGATCAGTAATTTCAGCTCCAGGTTTGGGTAGCCTTTCTAATTCTAGTGGAATCATTCAAAATTAACGGAGTATTAATTACTAATGAAGGTTTTTCTTGGAGATTTTTTTCAGTCTACCACAGAAAGTGTGATATGCAAGTTAGTATTGTATAACTTGATGCAGCATTGAGACTTAGGTGCCTTGGCTTTCCTCTAAGAAATGACAATAATATGTATATCTACCTGCTCTGCAAGGCAAAAGGTAACGAATAAACATTCATTCCGGAAGGATATGTTTTTCTCTGGGTGAAAATCTCTGCAAAAGCATTTTTACAGTATTATTAATCAATAAAACAACATCCACATTTTTATCTCAATGGCACTGGCAATAAAACCAGATTGAACGTCTTGAACTAGGAGAAATTGCTCTATATTAACATGATTATGAGAGCAAGAACAGCACCTAATACTTTTTCAAAGACCTTGCAGTCTACAGCAGACATATATCACGGAGACATTAGTCTGATATAACTTGAAATAAGAAGGCCTTTGCTCCTGACAGGTACTCCAGTGAGATTTACCAACAAGAGCAGAGATGTGGAAAAGGTCTCTGCTCGACTGCGTGAGGAAGCCAAGCTTCAGGCTGACCTTTCAGATGCAGATGCTACTGTGAAGTGGATGAAGGATGGGAAAGAGCTCGCGACCAGTGAAAAATATGAACGTCAAACTGTGGGGAACCGGCGCATCCTGAGAATTCACAACATTGAAACAGAAGATGCTGGAGTTTATGAGTGCATCTGTGAAGGGGATAAAATGATCTATCAGCTTTCAGTGAAAGGTATGTGACTCTCTGAACTACTTTGCATTAAGGGCTCGTTCCTGCCCTTAGCAAGCAGAGTTTTCAGAGGACAGAAAGGGAGTACTCCAGAGGCAATGGCATGAGCCACTGTGTCAGAGAGTGGTGGAAACTCCCCATCAACATCTAGTGTTAACTATATGTATGGTCACAGAGGTGGAGAGCTTGGGAGTGAATACAAGACTTTACCCTGTCTCAGTGATACAGAGCTGTATTTTCACTCAGATTGAAATCTGGAAAATCCCAAAGAACAGCTCCCAGTGAGCTGGATAGAGGAGAAAGACTACATTATTGTTGCATTGAATAGAATCACATGAGGATCAGAACTTGAGAGGCCCTTAACTGCAGCAGCAAGTTGTTCCCTTCCCTTTCCCTGTTTATTTGCTTGCTGGGTATTTCTCAGCCCTAAATTAGGGGAAGATTGGGGACCGAGGCTTTCCTTTTCTTTCTCACCTGTGCACTGCTTGGCAAATTAACCCACTCTTCATTCTTTAGGTCTCCAGACCCTGCCACTGTACAAGCTGGTGAATGCTGAATTCCTAGCAAATATTTAATAGTCTGTCTGTAATTAAAAGCACTACCACAGTTTAATGGCTAAAAGTAAGGAAACCAAATGCAAAATCCATCCTTGTGGATAGGGTGTTCAGAGGTCTCTGAGCTAAAGAAGAGCCCCCATTTGTTGCACCAGGGAATAGCACTGATGATGACACTTTCTGAGCCTCCAGCTTGCAGGGTAGAAGAAAGTCTGAGAGAGTCACACTTAGCTTGCCCAGATTACCAGCTGTAACTGCTTGTTCCAGTAGCAGCAGTGAAAGCTAACTGCTTTTGGTTGGACTGGGCTAATATCCAGCAATGGTAGTGGAAATGCTGTTAGGAAGAATAGTTATTGAAAAATAAATGTTTAAGTCTGATGGAATTTAAGAGGGAGCTAAAGTTATTTACAGGATTTCAGAAACTTCAGTGTATGGCAGTAAGCTTTTGAGCTCCTTAAACGCAGCCTTTCTCTAGATAGCTGTTTAAATTGGGAGTATTGTGCATGCATATTCCGGAAATTAAGGCAAAAATCATATATATAATCAAGACTTAATGTTAGTAGCTTTGAAGGCACAGTTCCAACAAAACAAATTAATTGTATATATTATTTAAAAATAATACAATAAGAAGATGTCTGCGAATTAATCCCATTAGGTAGAATAAAATGGGACTGGTTTTAGGCTCACATTTTTGTCTAAGATACATTGATGTTGGGTCGTTGAATCATTGCTCTGAAGCAGTTGGTAACTTGATTATTCCACTAGGTATTAATAAGTTGCGAGATTTATTGTCTTCCTCATACGCTTCAGTCAATTTCCAGGAAGGGAATTCTTTTCATTTCCGTTCTATGTGATATTTCTATAGATTTTTAGTTTAAGAGAATTTAATTTATCTAGAATACATTTTAACCTCTTGTGGAGTTGATTTATTTGCCAGCTAGTTACATGAAATGATTGGATAACCCTCATTGGTTTCCTTCCTGTTTGCTGTCTAGGTCTCTTCAGCTCTTCCCTCACCTCTCCCATTTCATATTTTTTCTTGAACCTCTCTTGCCTAGAGCCTCCCTCTGCCTCAGCATAGTATGTGTTGCATTTCACAGAATGGTTTAGGTTGGAAGGGACCGCTGGAGATCATCTAGTCCAACCCTCCTGCTCAAGCAGGGTCCTCTAGAGCATATTTCCCAGGATCACATCCAGACAGGTTTTGAATATCTCCAGGGAAGGAGACTCCACCACCTCTCCGGGCAACCTGTGCCAGTGCTCTGTCACCCTCACAGGGAAGAAGTTTTTCCTCATGTTCAGATGGAACTTCCTGCGGTTCAGTTTCTGCCCGTTGCCTCTTGTCCTGTTGCTGGGCACCACGGAGAAGAGCCTCATCCTCTTGACACCCCCCCTTCAGATACTTGTACACGTTGATGAGATCACCTCTCAGTCTTCTCTTCCCCAGGCTAAACAGGCCCAGCTCTCGCACCCTTTCTTCATAGGACAGATGCTCCAGTCCCCTCACCATCTTTGTAGCCCTCTGCTGGACTCTCTCCAGTAGTGCCATGTCTCTCTTGGACTGGGGAGCCTAGAAGTGGACACACTACTCCAGGGGAGGCCTCCCCAGAGCTGAGGAGAGGGGCAGGATCACCTCCCTCCACCTGCTGGCAACACTCTTCCCAATGCAGCCCAGGAGACCATTGGCCTTCTTGGCCACAAGGGCACACTGCTGGCTCAGGGTCAACTTGTTGCCCACCAGGACTCCCAGGTCCTTCTCTGCAGAGCTGCTTTCCAGCAGGTGCCTGGGGTTCTTCCTCCCTCGGTGCAGGGCCCTGCACTTGCCTTTGTGGAACTTCAGGAGGTTCCTCTCCGCCCACCTCTCC